CGCCGCGGGCCGTACACGGCTGTGTGACCGCAGGATTATGTGTCTGTCCCCTTGCTCAGGGCTGCGTGCCGGCGATGGAGCACGCGGTGGAGCCCTGGGGCCCGGATCTCCACGGCCCGGAGAAGAGGGAGCAGCTGAGGAGCGCGCGCACAGGTGAGGGTCGCGGCCGTGCGCCGCCATGGTCAGGTACTGGCCGGGTGGGGACCTGGTGCTGGGCTTTGCCCGGCCGAGACCCAGAAAAATCGGATATGAGCTGTGCTTCCAGGGAGGGAGGGGGAGGGCAGCAAAAACCGAGGGAGGGAGCCAAGGTTTCTGAGCACCTACTGTGCGCCAGGCGGTGGGGCATCTTTTCAAGGACTCTCTCCCCTCCCCCACGGTCATCACCATCCTCACTGCCTCTGCCCTACTTCAGGCTTCATTCTGCCTCATCCTGGCAATTGCAATAGCTTCTTCCCCTCTGCCCCTTTCTCTCCAGCGATGTACTCTACAGCCAGATTAATCTAAGTCCAGCTTTAATCCTGTATCTTTTCTCAAAAATCTTCCCTAGCTTCCCTCTCCTGTACTAATTAAAAACCTTAGCCTCGTGTTCAATCCAAACCCTACATGCTCAGACTGGTCCTTCGTCCTTTCCCCGCATTATCATCACTCCCCTCCGTGGTTTTCTCTTTGCTTGGCTATGAATGCCAGTGGTCTCCTTATCTCCTTTGTGATGACACAGTTAACTCTGAACCCCCAATTATAATTATTGATACTTTATCTTATCTCTTCTGCAAGCCTTAAGCATCTTGAGGGACAAATGTATATCTGGGTCCTCTCTTAGACGACTGACATAGTCAATTACCAAATGGGCTAATGTAACAAAATATGGAAATGGCAAATATCAGGTTTTTCAAATACAGACAATATAATGTAGCAATTAACACAGGCATGGGTGTCAGATAGATATCTGAGTTAGAAACCAGGCCTTGATACTTTCTAACCTTTCTAACATTGAGCAAGCCACTTAAATACTCTGAGTCTCCATGCTTATAAAATGGGGTAGTATTAGCATTATCTCACAGGATTGTTTGCTAGGATTTAATCATGCTTAGTTCAGTGATGGCATATATTAAGGGCATAGTAAAAGGAAGTGATTATTATTGAGAGGCACAGACAATAAGTACTCCAGAAGTCTGGAGGAGACAGGGCTCATGAGAGAGAGTCTTGTGATCAGAGATTGTCAAGGAAGTCTTTCTGGGGTGGTTCCTATCAAAGATAAGGACTGAGCCAAAGGCAGGGTCTTCAACTTCCTTTTCTTTCCCCAGGTCTAGGGAGTGAGAATGTGGAGATTTCTGAGCCGGATGAGTTTGAACATACCCCACAGGAGGATGACTTGGGGTTCAAGGAAGAAGAAGATTTGACCCCAGGTCATGAAGTAGGAAATGCCTCTCTCAAACCTGAAGGCATCCAGACTTGGGATGACTTGTGGGTCCAGAGAGAAGGGCTAGCAAAGTCTCAGCCTCGGGACAGAGGCCCCCCCCGGCTCCTGGGAGAACCACGCTGGGGCCAGGCTAGTAGTGATCGGGCTGCTGCTGTGTGTGGCGAGTGTGGCAAGAGCTTCCGGCAGATGTCAGATCTGGTGAAACACCAGCGGACCCACACAGGGGAGAAACCCTATAAGTGTGGAGTCTGTGGCAAGGGTTTTGGAGATAGCTCTGCTCGTATCAAACATCAGCGAACTCATAGTGGTGAGAAGCCCTATAGAGCTCGGCCACCAGCCCAGGGTCCCCCAAAGATTCCTCGGTCTCGGATCCCTGCTGGTGAGCGCCCTACTATCTGTGGTGAATGTGGCAAGAGCTTCCGGCAGAGTTCTGACCTGGTGAAACACCAGCGGACACACACGGGTGAGAAGCCCTACAAGTGTGGCATCTGCGGCAAGGGCTTTGGCGACAGTTCTGCCCGCATAAAGCACCAGCGGACACACCGGGGGGAGCAGCCCCCCCGGCCAGTGGTGCCCCAGCGGCAGCCATCTCGGGCAGCCACGGCAGCTGCACAGGGACCCAAGGCCCAGGACAAGCCATATATCTGCCCTGATTGTGGCAAAAGGTTTGTGCTCAGTTGCAGCCTGCTCAGCCACCAGCGCAGTCACCTGGGGCCCAAGCCCTTTGGCTGTGACGTGTGTGGAAAGGAGTTTGCCCGGGGCTCAGACCTGGTGAAGCACCTGCGGGTGCACACAGGCGAGAAGCCCTACCTATGCCCTGAGTGTGGCAAGGGCTTTGCCGACAGCTCCGCCCGAGTCAAGCACCTCCGCACCCACAGTGGTGAGAGGCCTCATGCCTGCCCGGAATGCGACCGCACCTTCAGCCTCAGCTCCACCCTTCTTCGCCACCGGCTCACTCACATGGAGCCCCAGGACTTCAGCTTCCCAGGCTACCCCCTGCCCCCACTAATTCCCAGCCCACCCCCGCCTCCTCTGGGTACCAGCCCCCCGCTGACACCTCGAAGCCCTTCACACTCGGGTGAGCCTTTTGGCCTGCCTGGCTTGGAGCCAGAGCCTGGGGGCCCACAGGCTGGGGAGCCACCCCCACCGCTGGCAGGCGACAAGCCCCATAAGTGCCCTGAGTGTGGCAAGGGCTTCCGCCGAAGCTCTGACCTGGTGAAACACCATCGTGTACACACAGGGGAGAAACCCTACCTCTGTCCTGAATGCGGCAAGGGCTTTGCTGACAGCTCAGCCCGAGTCAAGCACCTCCGCACACACCGTGGTGAACGGGCCCGGCCACCACCACCGTCCACTCTCCTGCGCCCACACAACCCACCTGGCCCAGCACCCACAGCCCCACGACCCCGAGTTCGGGCCCAGCCTTCTGGACCCAGCCAGCCCCATGTGTGTAGCTTCTGTGGGAAAGAGTTCCCCCGGAGCTCAGATCTGGTCAAACATAGGCGCACACACACCGGGGAGAAGCCATACAAGTGTGCAGAGTGTGGCAAGGGTTTTGGTGACAGTTCTGCCCGTATCAAGCACCAGCGTGGGCACTTGGTCCTGAGACCCTTTGGGATAAGTGATGATAGGGCAATGCCCCTCAAGGAGGAACCACCAACAGAACTGGAATGATGGGGTCCAGGCAGGGAGGGTGGAGGCCCAGGAGACCAAAGGAAGGGTCTCTGCTGCTGCTGCTGGAGCCATGAAGAAAGGGCCTGGGAGGTGGTGGGAGGGAGGAGGAGGGAAAGAAATGGGAGAAAGGAGTGAATAGATAGAAATAGAGATTGGAGACGATAACCTTGAAGCTCAGGAAACTTATTAGCTGGGCTCTGTCAGGACTCTGCCAGTATGGGCTGTACCTGCAGCTTATAGGACTCTGCCTAACACACAGGAGGCACTCAATAAATACTTGTTGAAGGGATAAGCTGGCCTTAGCCTGAGGACTCTCAAAGAACCCTAAATTCCTGCTGCCTCTATCTGTTAAGAATTGACCCCTCTCAACCTTGCCCTGTGAGGCCGACACCGGAACCAGGGCTTGTTTGACCTTATGAGCTGCAGCAATGGGACTTCTGGAATTTAGATGACAGAATAAGGCAGGGGCATCTTGATCATCCTGATGGAGCTAGTATTGCTGTGTGGTAGGTAGTACCCATCCCTAACCTCAGGCCATGGGACATTATCTTAGCCAAGAAGGGCACTCTTAGATGGAGTCCAGACCTATGTGCTCTTGGGAGTCCCAATCCACCCTGACACCTGGACACTGGCAGAATAGACCAGAGGCAGCAAAGGGCATCCAATCTTGATGCCAACCCCAGGTCCTGGTAGACAGTAGAGACCAGCTGTCTGGGAGAAGGGCAGGACTGCAGTGAGGAGAGGCCTGAGAGGCCAGGGAAGCTTACGAGGCCCGACAGCCACAGTTCCGTGTGTCTCCTTGCCAATAAACTGCTTCTTGTCTGAGGCTTGGACTGTGTGTGTGTGTCTGTGTACACGCAGGCATGTGTACACGCAGGCAAAGGGTTGGAGAAGGAAGGTGTAAGGGGTCGCCACGGCAAAATCCTCAAGGCATGCGTGAATTTGCCCTTGTCCTCTGAGCCCATGAAAGAAAGAGGTTGCCTTGGCATCGTCGGCCGCTTTCTAAGTCGGACATTTGGTTCAAAAACGGCCGCCAGGTCCATCAACTACGCCTAAGGTCTGGCCGCCCACAGGCACCACCTAAGCCACAGCAGTAAACGCGACCCTTAAAAGGAGAAACGCGCGGCGCCGCGGTGGGAGGGCGAGCCACAGGGAAGAGGGGAGGAGTGGTCCGTGAGCGCCGTTGCTGTGGCGACGGCTGCCCGGTGACTGCCCGACCCTGATACCCCGCCTACGGGGTCTTGGGAAACCGCGCCTCCCTGAGGCTTTTTTTTTTTTTTAATGTATCGAGAAACAAGTTATTTAGCTGCACGCCCCCCCCCCCCAACGCAAGGGGGCGGCCTAAAGAGGAAAAAGCAACAGTATTTCCCAGCGACCAGTGGGCCCTCGGGAACAGGTCTCCCAATTCCTAGCGTTTTCCGACAGCGCCAATTAGGAGGAGAGGGAGGGGAACTGGCCTCGTTGGCCAGGGACAGAAAAAGAAGCCGAGGGCAGTTCACCCATCTAAGCAACGAGGTGCAGGATTGCAAGCTCGCGGGTCCTGGCGTCTCAGCGATTCAGCGTGCCGAGCAGTCCCCGAGCGAAGTTCTCGCGAGACCTTCGCCGTCGCCTGGTTTCCCTGGAAACCGTAGGAAGCGGGCTCCGGTGCGGTTCTTCCCGGCTGTCCGATCTCTTCCCAGCGCGCTCGAGACTCTGTAACTTTGCGTTCAGGCCTAAGGCTCTTGACGGCTTCCCACTGGCCTTAATGGAGCCCTTTGGGGCTTTTCGAAGGTCCTCCCGGGCTGGTTTCCCTTCCCTACCAGTTTGACCTCCAAGCCGTCCTTCGGTGAACTTTGTAAACTGACACTCCCCCATTAAAATCCCCGCTGCCCGGCGCGGGGGCTCACGTCTGTAATCCCAGCACCTTGGGAGGCGGAGGCGAGAGGATCGCCTTAGCTCATGGGTTCGAGACCAGCCTGGGCAACTTGGAGAGCGCTCGTCTCTACAATAAATCAAAAAGTTAGCTGGGCGTGGTGGCGCACGCCTGTGGTTCCAGCTACCCAGAAGGCTGTGGTGGAAGTATCCCTTGAGCCCAGCGGGTCGAGGCTGCGGTGGCCGTGAGCATGCCATTGCACTCTAGCCTGGGCAAGGGTGAGACTCTGCCTCAAAAAACAAAAACCCGCTGCATCTACACATGCCCTCTGTGTGATTTCAACCCTGAGCCTCTTACGTGTTTCTTTAGTTGAAATACTCCTCCACCCCTACCTTACCCCTCGTGAACCTCTCCTGTCAAAACACCTGAAGCCTTCTCTAACTCTCCAGTCCGGATTAGAATCCCCCTCTCTGAGCAATCCCTGTCTGAGCACTGAACACATCTAGAGCTTCTTCTGTTTTTTTTTTTTTTTAGAGCTTCTTGAGGATAATTAGTCACTCACTCAACTGCATTATGCGCTGTGTGCTGGGTACTGGGGACAGAAAGATAAAATAAGACAAAGTCCCTGCTCTCAATTTTTAGTTTTTGTTTTTGAGTCAGAGTCTCACTCTGTCACTCAGGCTCATGACTTACCTCATCCTTGACCTCCTGGTCTCAAGCAATCCTTCCGCCTCAGCCTCCCAAGTAACTGAGACTACATGCACGCACCACCATGTCTGACTAATTTTTTTGATATTTTGTAGAGACAAGTTCTCACTATGTTCTCTAGGCTAGTTTTGACCTCCTGGGCTCGGGCAATCTTCTTGCCTTGGTCTCCCAAAATGCTAGGGTTACATGTGTGAGCCACCACGCCCAGCCTCCTGCCCTCAATTTTTTTTTAAGATTAGAAAATATAGTTTATTTAGAAAGTAAATTAGAAAGAGAAGATTCACCTCCCCGAAGTAGGGAAGGTTGCCAAAGCCAGGAAACATGGCCTGGCCATAGCTCAAAGAGCACGTTGCCACACCATAGCTTAGCAAGGTAATGACAGTGATGTCCTGGCAATGGCCTGCCCTCAGTTTGTTTTTTTGTTTGTTTTTTTTTTTTGCGGGGGGTGGCTTGGTTCACTTTATTTTTTTTGTATGAAAACCCTATGTCGTTGCCACCGCTGGAGCCTAGGTCCTCTGCATGGAGACTCTGGTGTGGGTCTTGACGAGATGGTCAGTGAATTCCTGATAAGGAGACTTGGTGAACAACGTCTCTTTCCAGAGGTCAGGGGTCGAGTAACTGTAAGTCTTAGAGATCTGCCCTCAGTTTTTATGCAGCAGATAGACATTGAACAAATCATTACAAGTGTAATGAGGACTATCCAGGAAACATACATGCAAGAGAGAATCCTGTGTGATGCAGAGGCTTTTCCGATTAAACTAAGGACCTAAGATTGAGTTGGAGAAAGCTAAGAAAGGAGGAGGTAGAGAATGGGATGGGAGATGGAGAGTAGAATATGCACCAAGTGAGAGTCAAGAACTGAAGGAAAAGTAGTGAAGCTGAAGTCACAGAGTGAAAAGCAGGGCAATGAGGACTCAGACACAGACTTTTCTTTTCTTTTTTTTTTTTTTGAGTTGGGGTCTCACTCTGTCACCCAGACTGGAGTGTAGTGGCTGCTCCAGGCCACTGCAGCCTCGACCTGCTGGGCTCCGGTGATCCTTCCGCCTCAGCCTTCTAAGTAGCTGGAACTACAGGTGCACGCTACCACGCCCGGCTAATTTTTTGATTTATTGTAGAGTTGAGGTCTCTCCAAGTTGCCCAGGCGGGTCTCGAACCCACAGGCTCAGGCAATCCACTCACCGCAGCCTCCCAAGGCGCGGGATTACAGGCTGAGCCACCGAGCCCGGCAACACAGACTTTTCGACATTCGATTTTCTCTCAGTGGTGAAAGGGGCCTAGCACCCACAGGCCTTGCTAAATGCTTTGTGAAAGTCGTCCTTGAAGCATGAATGTGCTTCACAAGAGTTTACAATTCCACAAACTAGCAAACTCCCACTTACCTTTGTTTTTTGTTTTTTAAAAAAATTTGTCAAATGGGGCCTAGCTGTGTTGCCCAGGGTGGACTGCAGTGGCTATTCACAGGTACGATCATAGCCCACTATATCCTCACACTCCTGGGCTCAAGTGATCCTCTTGCCTCAGAGCTGGAAGTACAGGTGCACACCACCACACCTTGCACCCACTCATCTTTGAAGGCCTATCACTTTTATTTCCTCAGTGAGGCTTGCACCCAGTACCTACTGCCCTCAAGAGAGTTAGTCACTCACTCCACAGTTCTGCCAGAACATCTATTGTCCTTCTTTTCTTTCTTTTTTTTTTTGAGTTGGAGTCTCACTCTGTTGCCCAGACTGGAGTGCAGTGGCCGCTCCCGGCCACCGCAGCCTTGCCTGCTGGGCTCCAGCGATCCTTCCACCTCAGCCTTCCAAGTAGCCGGAATTACAGGCGCGCGCTACCACGCCCGGCTGATTTTTTGATTTATTGTAGAGATGAGGTCTCGATGCCCAGGCGGGTCTTGAACCCGCGGGCTCTGGCAATCCACTCACCTCAGCCTCCCAAAGGTGCGGGATTACAGGCTGAGCCACTGAACCCGGCTTATTATCCTTTTCATAGATATATGACTCATGATGTACATTCATATATATATATTTTTTGTGTGTGTTGGAGTCTCAATCTGTCACCCAGGCTGGGGTGCAGTGCCATACTCACGGCCACCCCAGCGTCAAACTGCATGGGATCCGGTGATCCTTCCGCCTCAGCCTTCCTAGTAGCCGGAACTACAGGTGCACCCTACCATACCCGGCTAATTTTTAAAATTTATTGTAGAGACGAGGTCTTACCAAGTTGCCTGGGCTGGTGTCGAACCCACAAGCTCAGGCAATCCACTCGCCTCGGCCTCCCAAAGTGCTGGGATCACAGGCTGAGCCACCGAGCCTGGCCTATATTTTAAAATCATAATCTTCTTTACTAGACAATGAACTTCTCAAGAACAGAAATTAGATCGGTTGCAACAAGATACCTGTATACGGTTGTAGAGCAAATGGCTGGAGCCCTTTCCCTTTCCTTTGCAAGTACCTGTTCCAAACAGCAGGAGGCACCTTCCAGCAGGGACGTCACTGCCCCAGTGGCGGGCTCCTGGCTGTGTCCTTACTTACTCTCTCTGAATCAGGGCAAGAGGACTTGCCTTCACTAGAGGTGGGGTTCCAGTCATAATTTGGCCCTTACTTAGTTCTCCATCTAGCTTATTAGACTGATGTATAAGTTTGTAGCTTTTTTTTTTTTTTAGCACAGCAACACTACTGTGTTGAGTTTATTGTTTGTCATTTGGAGTGACACTGTTGTGCTTGTGAATACACCTTTGCATTTTGCAGATTTGAAGAAAGTTAGTGTTGTCTGTAGGCTAAAGAAGATGGAATGTCAAGTAGAAAAAAATGAACACTTCCAACATATTTTTCGGGTTGAGTTTAACAGAGAAATAAAGGCAGCAGAGGCGGCCCAAAACATTTGTGCCCTCTACAGGAAAAATGGCATCGGAGAAAGCACAGCAAGAAAATGGTTTTGTCGTCTCAAAGAGGGTCACTTTGATCCGAGTGATTCTCCACGTTTAGGAAAACCTTTTTAAAAGTTCAGGCTTAGCCGGGCTCGGTGGCTCAGCCTGTAATCCCGGGCCTTTGGGAGGCTGAGGTGAGTGGATTGCCTGAGCTCGCGGGTTCGAGACCCGCCTGGGCAGCGAGACCTCATCTCTACAATAAATAAAAAAATCAGCTGGGTGTGGTAGCGCATGCCTGTAATTCCGGCTACTCGGAAGGCTGAGGTGGAAGGATCGCCGGAGCCCAGCAGGTCGAGGCTGCGGTGGCCGGAAGCGGCCACTTGCATTCCAGTCTGGGCAA